TTCTAGCTTTTATCCCTACCCCTATCAACCTCATTCCCAATGCTGTCCTTGTTGTTCCTGTGTGCTTTCACTGTCTCGAACCATCTTATATCCTGCTGTAATTCCCTACCTTCCACCAGTTTTGTCTGCTTATTCCTTCAAATCTCTTTCCACTCACGTAATACTGCTTTCTCTGAAATATATGACAACCTAGAGGACTGCCTGGAAGTTTGCTTACCTCCTCTCGTTGCATTTAGCAGGAAGACAGTAATCGGAACAAGAACAGTGGCTTAAGAACTCATGAGATTTTTACAGGCTTGTCGGTACTATATTGGATACTTAACTTCAGCTTACTCTGTGTCAGTGGCACAGCGCAACAACCATGCTACAACCATGCACATAGTCCAGGGTTCGATCCCCGGCCGATGAACACCTGATATCAATAATCGGCCTGCTAAATTTGGGCTACCGATATCACATTCTGAAAATTCCAAACCCGTACCAAATAAATACTGTGTGGAATCAAACCATAATAAAATTTTTAAAAATTAATAGATCCAACTATTTTGTTGACACTAAAGTATGTGAAAGAATTCACCGTCATCATTTAGTGATCCAGAAAGGAGATATAAGTTTGCGTGGCCAGTCAGTACATCTCATTCGTTATATTAATTTTTGTGAAAGATAAGCAGCTGCTTGAGTATTAGATATTGTCTGCCCATATAAAGAGGCCTGTAGCAAAACTACGACCCGATAGTGCACAAGTTCATCAATGAGATATTGAATATTAGGTAGGGAGTATGATTTTATAGAGATCTCAGTCTTTAAGCCAAAACTGCACGAAATTGCGTGGGGCGGAAGCATTTCACAGCAATTTGCTGCAGTTTTACTGCGTTCTTAAAACACATCAGCTTTGGCTACCTGAACACGAGGCGGAATTTCAAAAACTGAGTACGTGCCTTTGTTATTTCTTGATTGGGTATATTAGACATGTTGCTAGTTTATTTAGATTGGTGGAATTATTATTAAAACAAGTAAAATGCTTCTAGTGTTATTAAGTAGTGTAGCAGCATCTTAGATGCTGGTAATTTATACCCTCGAGTTATATGTTGTGCACGTATAATTATCGGATTTAATCCTATCTGACTGCAAGAATGTACTTGTATGAATGAAGGCTAAATAAAATGCACGGCTAGTCAGATTGACAATTATATCAGAGTGAGAAGAGTGTAAATAGCTCAAATAAAATGTTTTGTGGAACCCATGGGTAGCATTTTCTTCAGGGGCAAAAACCTTGAAACGTATTGAAGAAAGTGGGACAGTTGCCTGCAGCCTTCCCAAAATTGTCTGCAGCGCACCCGAAGTGTTTGCAGTGGATCCTAAAGTGTCTGCAGTGCACTTCTAAGTTTAAGAGTATAGGAAGAAAATGTTTGAGAAAAGGTTGATTTTAGGTTGGACTTCGTCTGAATTGCCTCATTTCTATTACATCACACGAGAAGTCTGATGTATAAGGTAAATGGCCAACGCTTTCGTGCGTCTTACTTAACATTGAACGGATGCTTCCCCACATACTGCGGTCCCACGTTATGTAAATATTCCAGAGGTTACTTTGTGGCAGGTGCAAAATGCATTCAGGAGTGTATTGGTTGGACTGTGAAACTAATGGTTACAAAAGAACTTTTTATCTTTCCATTTATATACACTCATTGGTTTTTTATGAATTATTCATATGAAATTAATAAATAGGGTTATAATTTAATGATATATTCCTAATTTCATTTTGAAATGTGTGCCTAATAATGGGAACCACTGCGGATGTATAACCTGTCAGTTTCCATTTGGGGAATGAATGTGGTGTGATATCTTCCAGATATGGTTTCGCACAGTGTGCATAAATCGGGCTCCTACATCATGCATTGCTAATGAAAATTATGGCTGTGCAGTGACTGCTAAAGCACGACTAACTTTCGTATAACGGAAGCCATTACCACTCTCAGTGGGCTTTATAGCTCTGGATTGCCATATTCCTCCACCACAAGAGAAGAGCGACACCGTTGACGTGGCATGCATCATCTGCAAGACAGTACAGCTTCCCCGGGGGTATCTGCGAGGGAGTGCCTTTCGGCACTGAAGAGCACTCACGATATTGCTGACACCCATGCTGCTCTTACGATACCCCATAAGCCCTCCAGGGACAGCAATGGAAAGACTGACTCAAGAAAAAGGGGTCGAAAACCCACAGATAATGTCCTCCAGGGACTTTTAGATCAAGCCTCATCCATACCGGTGGACGTCAGGCAGACACAATCGACCACATGTCATGTTCCCCTTAGATAAGCTACTGCCAACAACAATATCAGGTGTAACCATACACAGCTTGTACAGATCCAGGCAAACGACTGACAGTAAATCAGTCGGTACGCCTTCTGAAGGTCCTACTAAATACAAAAGTAGAGGGGGATGTCATCCTAAGCAACGCTGAAACTCTTAAAGGATCAGGCATATTTATATATGCCGCCTTATGCCTAGCAGACCGAGTCAAAAGACGGCCTGTGGCTCTAGAGTTAAGCGAACGACGCCGAAATGGCGAGAAAAACCTTAAGATTAAGTGTTTTCGGGTTGTCACAGTTCTAAGTTTGATGATCCCGAAACCTTTATCGGTAAGCCACAGGAGCACTCAGTTTAGCCAACAGTTTGCTACACAAATGTCCGCAGCCTGTTGAACAAATTGAGTGAGCTGAGTAATATCGTAGACTCCGGAAATACGAATGTAATTGTCACCACAGAGGCGTGGCTCACACCCTATGTTACTGATAACTAAGTTAACCTGTCGAACTTTGTGGCGCATAGGGTAGACCAACTAAGCCGCAAGGGAGGTGTCGTAGTCATCTATCCCAAGAAATGCTTAACCGTGGGTAGCATCGAAGCACTCGCTCACGAAAGTGAATCGTGAGAACTTCTACAGTGGTGAATTAAATGCACAGGTCAATATACTGACCTCGTCGCTATATACCACAGTCCTGCTTGCTTCTCGGCTCTCTGAGCTAAGATCATGTGTAGTAAAGGTGATTTCCTCATAGTGAAGCTAGGCCCTGGACACTGAAATGTCGAAGTCTCGTAGTCGGCGACTTCAACGCCCGAACAGTTGACTGGACAAGCCTCACAACGCCATCTTCAGACAACTCCTTCGATAATAATAATACAGTTCCTCGCCGAAAAAACTCTGTAAATAAATCTGTACCTCAGGGGAGATTCGGCAGCTCATATCCTAAAGGAAAATATCCACAGCTCTTTGGAGAAGACCTTCCCCGCAGCGACACCAATTGTGACATTATCTAGCCACCAGATACTTCTAAACAATTCAAAGGACAAACCCCCACAAATAACCAACTCAGTATGGATATACCAGTTCATTTGAGCCCACCACAATCATGCGGTATGCTGCATATTAATATCTTTCATGACAAATACTTCCCGTTGGGTCACCAGATACATCGATACCTCAGGCCATTCTTAGCAATATCACCTTTTTCATGCATACACATATATAAGTATTTATTACACATGACTAGGAGATTAAGTTTCCTTGTTATCTAGAGCACAGCATGGTTTCCGAGGGAACCTCTCATGCCTGTCAAACCTTCTCACCGCAAGAGAAAACTGGGCCAAATAAAGGGATGACAGAATACCCACTGACGTCGTCTTAATAGACTTCATCAAAGCCTGCAATAAAGTTTCTCACAGATACTACTCATGAAGTTGGAAAGTCTTGGTATCAAGGGCAGCTTACTAAACTGGATTAGGAAATTCCTCGTAGATAGGGAGCAGAGGAGCAGGATCATTTCAAAACTCTTCTCCTGGACAAGTGTGTGGCAGAGTGCCACAAGGAACGGAACTCGGACCTTTCCTACTTATTTTGTATATCAATTAGTTATCTGTGTTCACGGATTCCCCAATGGTCCTATACACAGATGAACTGAAGGGTGACGGCGATAAGCTCTTGTTGATAAGGGACCTTAACAAACTGTCAGAGTAGTCCAGAGAATGGATGCTCACGATGAAAGTAGCGAAATGTGCTACCATGCGCACCGGACACGCTAGCATCAGTCTCTACGAACTAGAGACAACAAAAATCCCATCACTTCAGACTCATTTTGATTTAGGTGTCATAGTAAGTCACTATCAAAAACTACAGCACACTGTCGCGCGGTGGCTGCACGTAGTTTCAGATCTTTATGGGCAATTCGCAGGGCCTTTAATAGAATCACCAGAGATATGTTCACCTTCTTATATACATCTCTGGTGAGGTCAAGACTGGAAAACTGTATCCAGTCAGTCAGTCCTTGTCTTAAAGGGGACTCACATATTCTAGTAAGGGTCAAAAGGAAGGCAACACACATGTTTCTCGGTGTGACTAACTTATCGTACGAGGAAAGACTAGACAGTTTAAATCTCTTCTCCCTATCATTTCGTTGGCAGAGAGGAGATTTAATTTTAACGTTTAAAATTTTAAGTAATGACTACGGACCTGACCTATCACCGCTTTTCCCTCCTACCAAGTTGAAAGGCCTTAAATAAAATAATGGGAGAGTTCAAAAGCCAAGGAAAAACCAAAATGCTGTGGAGTACTGGTTCTCATACGGAGTAATGAACTCCTGGAACCGACTCCCAGAAGAAGTGGTGTCTGCAACCTCAACTGATTCGTTCAAGGAAGGTTTAAAAAAGCACAGAAATTTACTGGAAAATGATTAACACAGACTCTGAGCCTTCTTTCCTCAGCCAATAAATCTGAATCTGAAATCCACGACAGGAAATGAGACTCAAAGAAGAGGAAGAAGATATCAAGTAATTTCATCGACACACCTATCCTAGGCAGTGTTATCTGACGATGATTTCAACCATTTCAACCATGATTTTAGCTTTTAAATATGCTAGACCTCTGCTTTTAGGAAATGCAATTCGTTTGCAACTTTTGCATTGACCTTGAAGTTGTAAGTAAACAGCGCGATGTTCAGTAATTTCCGAACTTTCGCTCTTCTTGGTTCAGCACTAAATTTTCTTGTAATATTCTTATCTACTCACAACGCTGCCACTGGTGAAATCTTTTACGCGTTGCTATTGTCACAGAAAGTGCATCAAACGTCTTTTGATAGTTGACGTAGAAATGCGGAACTTAACCATTTATTTTTATAAGTGTATTCTAAAGTTTTTCATAAAACCAATACCTAGATAAGGCTTTTAATTCGAGGATCTTTGCGAAAGACTGACACAAAATGGGATGTTCACGATATAAGCAGTCTATGATTACAGTTTACTGGGATGGCAGTGTTCGTATTTGCTGCTTAGCTACCTGTTTTGATTTTTTAGTTTTTATAACAGTGCCAGCTACCTAACACGTTCAAGTCGCATCATAGATAATATAATATTGTAAAGCATGAAATATTGAATTCAGAATGTTTAGAAAGTAAATAACATTTATATATAAATGTTTCGGCTATGGCCGAAATCATTAATTTATTTATAATATCAACTGAAAGTTGTAGGAAAGTTAAATTAGGGGATGGATGCAGGTAAACAGTGACTAATATTAACGCAGGCATTCAAGAAGAAATCGAAGTTTGTAAGACTGATATCAGGCTAGGGAATTAAAGTCATTCAGTAAGCAAAGTAAATAATCGTACAGTTAACCCAGAAGGAAATTAAAATAAATCAGTCAAGTTGGGGACTGATTATACTCTCAGTAGGCACTTTTGTTTTATTGAAGGCGTTATATGGTGTCGCTCCACTGAATTTAGTTGATCCAGACATTTTCTGAACATGGAGCTTGAAAATACCAAAATACATGTTTGCAAAAGATTTAGTGGTTTTGCTGGTAAAATAACTGCTTGTTTCTGGCTATAGAATCTCTGGCGTTTGCTTAAAAAACCTAATGGAATTCCTCAACAAACCTTCAGATTTGATTGTGACTAGGCACTGGATTCTTTCTGCTTACTTTTTCCATGCTTACGGGAAAATGTCTTGAATTATCTCTCCTCTGTGAGACATTTTAATGATGCTCAATCAATCTTTTAACGCGTATTTGTTGTATGCAATTTCTTATCTCTATTGTAAAATGTCCGGAATAATCGTAATTATACCCGGCTGGAGGAAAGCTATTCTACTGGTGACATTATTGACTTTACCTGCCTTTCGTATGGTTGGTCTTCTTCCCATGAAATTCAGGCTGTTTGTTGTGGTCATATTCCATGTCATTTGGAAATAGCCGATGTTAATGATTTATTTATACCAGATTGTGTGAAACTTTCATTTATAGTCTGCCTGAAATTTTATACTTTTGTGAACAAATAGCTTATTAAGTTATTTATTTCTACATTTTCCTTTAGTTCCCCATGAACCCTGGATGAAGTCTTGTTGCAGAAAGTTCTACTTATAAAACTTTTGTACAAACTAGATCGATATATAACAATGAGTGAGGTAGTTCATGGTTCTACAACAAAACGAATGCATGCGGTAGGTATGGATTAACAAAGTTTATTCATATATACATTTGTCACTTAGCTGCACTGAAAAAAGTTAAGAAAAATATCAGAAAGCACTATGATGATGAGAAAGCTCATGAAGTTCACAAAGTATTATCAAGAAAACTGTTCAGAAGTTTGGTGGAGGTGAATTTGTAGTTTTTATAAATTTTGTTATAACATCTACTTTTACTTTGAGTTTACAATACTGTTTTATAGTTGGTTGTGTAAATTAAGGTGGAGAAAAATAGTTTTAATCCTCAAATTTACTATTTCAGGACTAATATAATAGTTCAGTTGAAAATTTATTGAAGGTGCGCAATTTACTGTTAAAAACTCAGTACTCCATCCATTAAAGTATTTGCCCAGTGTTAACTTTAATTTTGATGTCTGAGAATTACAAAGTTCTAGGTGAAAACCCACCATGGTTTCATTTGGAAAACCGAAATGTTCTGGTTCTAATATGTGATCTCCTCGATACTATAATGGCAATCAAGAAAGTATGCAGTATACTATATACTGCATAGCCACTTCAATAGTAGTTATCTCAACTGACTCTTGGCTGAACCTAATGGAGTGTACCACTGATGAGCTTGGCCTTAAACAATCGTCCAGATATGCAATACATTGAATAAATATTTCGATCAATGATGAATAACACTTTAATGAAAGGATAATAGCAACAATTTTATCTTTCGCTTATGATAAAGTATAAACTTAGTGATACTAATAATCCTTCTAACATCGTGTATCAAAAATAGTTTAAATCTCATATAAGGTGACACATGTGTTGTTCGGTGACTATATTTTAACTCCTTGTTGAACGTTTGTCAACAAATGGGTAATGTACTGTTAAACCTTTTCATATTTAACTTTTAATTCATTTAATTACAAATAATTTTATTCATTTAACTAGTGATTGCTTGTTTCCTGGCATCCATTTCCCTTTGAGCCTAATAACTCTGATGATCTAATTGAATTAAATCAAACGCATCATAACTAGGTATCAGCCAACTACTGAAATCTAGTGAATATAATTAGCCTATCGGGAAGTATGTTTGGGTTTTTATTATTTCGAATTACAAATTACACTCATTACAAAATTAGTCGTAATTCTCAATTGGTGAGTATGTTGAGAAACCGATGAAATCTGACTGTATCTTTGAACATAAAACAAAAGATTCCAGAACCACTAAAATTCAAAGGGGACCATAATGCGCTAACAACACTCCGATCTCTAAAATCCAAGTTATTCCGGTCTCATGGTTAGGTAGTGCTAATATTTTCTGCAAAACCTGAAAGATCTGATGTCACTTTCGCATGACATTTTGGATGGAGACTGCTGACAAGTTTTTCGCTAACTCAAGACAGATATTTATTGCTTCTCCGCTTTAACTAGTTTTTTGCAGTTGGAATCACTCTTTTTGAATCGGGGGGTCAATTAAGCTTTATTTTAGTCTATAAGATAAAGCTATCAGTTGTATTCCTTTGTTATTTATTACAACCTTTGTATAGTGAGCGTTTGAAGGTCAAATCAATTCGGAGTTGATGGAACTGAATAAATTCGATTGTTACGATGCTAGTGATATTAATATGTGAAAGCTTTTTCACTCCTTGATATCCGAGTAGAATGTTGGGCTTCAAGACTTTGAAGTCTCAGTGGCGGTGGTGTTGTTTTTATGGAATGAGTTTGCTGAAATCACTGTCAACCTTTCCTCCTTTTTCGACTTACTAATGGTCAGTAAAGTAGCCATGGTTTAGGATTGCGTTGACCGAGAATTCAACCCGGGCAACCTGCGTGGCTAGAAAGTACTCTACCATTGAATCGCCGACTCATATATGAAAGCTGGGATGGCCTAATACCAGAATCTTTGGAGGTTGCACTAAACTACGTTAATAAGATTCTATGGTGCGGTTCAAAGTTTTCCAAGTTGAATTCTGGATAAGATAATTACTATTAATAATCCATCACTTTTTTTTAAAAATGTCTAGCACAGTGCAATGGTGTTGGATAAGTTACCGTAGCTAACAGTCTATACTCCTGGATTCACTCACTGAATTAGTTTTAAGTCGATAATTTTGTTATCTAGTATTACATAGAGTAGTGACTAGGCTATTCGTTATGTAACTGAACACTGTTAAACGATAACTAAAGTTTATTGGTCAACTGAACGATGTGGGCTCTGAGGGCTATATGAGATGGCACTATTGTGTACTACTTTTGTAACGGGAGAAGATAAGAGACCTAGTAACTGACTTTTAATGAGGAAAAATACATTCATAGCCACATTAAAGTTCGGCTAGGTTAGACGGGAATAAATTGTTCTGATCGGCTGATGATTAGCCCAAGGCTAAACAAGTTGTCCAGTGAGGTCATTTCATGTCTACAGAGTAAACTAAATCCATATTTGAGGAATGTACACCTCTGTCTCTATAGCTGTTGACTGAAAATGCTGATTTAGTTTTAACATCTTCATACCAGTCAGCATCATGCCACATTTTCATATTTTGTTGTGAGGTTAAATGTCAGATGTTAGTTAGGAGGATTTATCCCCAATCTTGAGTAAGCTCACATTTCAGATGACACTCGAACTTGAATTGTCAGAAAATTGTTTTCTTGTTTCAGTTTCTATTCTCTGAAAGAATTTATACCTTTTGTGAATTAAATTCTACGTTTATTTATGAGCAAAAGGAAACCAACTGGATTGTTTCTAATATGTCCTGTTTCACATCACACACACACTATATGTATATATAATTATAACTTGTTTTTTTACCCTTTTTATTCTTGAAAAATAGATATTCGATTTGATTTCATATCCATATGAACAAATACCAGATGAAGAGACAAATTTAGTCGGTGTCATCGATGAAGTGTTAATAGCATTACATAATGGTCCATTGGCTATCGATTCGTTAGATGTAGAGGCAAATGAATTAGTACAGATACTTACTTCTCCTATATGGCGTGGTTTTGCTAATGCTTATACTGAAGTAGCAACGAAACACTTTGATATGCCTGAGTTACCTGAGATCGCGTTCAATATGTCGGGATTAGGTGGTACTTATACAACCTTGGGAAGTTTAATGGCTAGTAAAATATCTAATATGCATATACCTACTAAAAGTTATGGAGATATAACTGTTAAAGATGATCGTAATGGAATTACAAATGACCCTTATGCTTCAAGATCTATTATTTATGGTATCGGTAGTGATAAAGGTTATATTGATTTGAGAAAAAATGAAGCTACACTTACTGGAGGTGGCGAAGGACCGGCACTGCCACCTGTTGAAGGTGCAGTTAAAATGGTTGGAATTCAAAAGAATTATGGAGAAGATTTGGTAAGTTACAGTTTTAGTATTAATAACTTTCCTTTACAGTTATACATAGTCACTAGTGTGACTGGTGTTTATGTCTTACATTGTTTGAAACAGAGAACAGTTCTTCCGTTCCCCCAAAAATTGAGTATTTCAGGAAGTTGGTATGATTAAACTTTTGAGATGAATTATTTTTACGAGTTTGACCACAGATTGATATCAGTTAGAGAACTATTGAAATCCAGGTAGTACTGGATAGCTGTTTCATCCTAGTTTGGGAATTATCGGCAGTACGCATCCACTGGGGTTAAAACCAAGAACCTTACGGTTACAAGGCAAGCTCGTTTACCATTCAGTCACTGGGACCCGATTCAATGGCCAGCCCATGAATTCTGACTTCTACCAATTCACGATTTAGCGCAACCACACAAATCGTTCTCAACGGCTGGTGCAGATGCATTCACTCCTAGCGATTTATAATATCCAATAAAATTCTATTCTTCTTCCATATTACCATTCTTTTTGCCTCACACCTGTGTTTTTTTATCTCTCTTTCAACCCTCTCTCCACTCTCTTCTCTTGCTTTGTGTGCTACATGGAGGGGGTGTGGCAACTCGAACTGCTGCACATCTGTGAAAATTTCCATGTTGAAACCAGTCAGTCAGGGGCTCACCATATCACATAAGAGAACATTTGCTAGCCCATGATATTGGCTGGCACTTAAGCTATGTATCGCCAGTTGATGGAAGTTGGAATTCATGGTCGATTAGATCGGCTCTCAGTGGTTGAATGGTCTACAAGCTCACGTTGTAATCGAAAAATCCTAGATTCGAACCTCAGTGGGTGCGTACGACTAAGGAGTCCTAATAAGGGAGGAAGTAACAGCTCTCCTGCACTCCTTGGTCTTCCATTGGTTCTGTAACTGATGTCAGCTCGTGACTCAACCTGTAACCAATCAGATCGTTGCAAACCAACACATGAAAACTGACTGGCCGAATATTCGTATGTTAAACCTCAAATGATAAATTCACATGTATTCTTACCATATCTGATCACTTAACAGAGATTAATTCCATCATTATGAGCAATAAATTGTGCTCAAAGCGTTGTTAGTAAGTAATACTTTTTTTTTATCAGATAAACATACTGTATGATGGGATTATATTTTACCACAGTGCCGAATTTCTATTCTTCTGTAGACGGATACTAGTCCTATAAGTTTACGCAGCTCCTGTTTGACTCATTCGCTACTTATCATGCATACTTCTGTTTGATTTACAACGTCAATATTTAGATTACTTTTTTTAAAAAGACCATATTAGCCTAAATGTTTTTTTTTGTTATTTGTCTGTATATTTCAGGGTATCACAGTAGTTCAACAACAATATATGTCTGCACATTATGGTTTAGTAAAAGAACTAGTCATCAAGCGTATTTTAGCAGCATCTCATGTTGAACAACTTGATCTACTCCATGAAGGTGATGTCATTCGTGAAGTAAATGGTGTAGCAGTTGATAATCCTGAAGTATTACAAAAAGTATTAAAAAATGCATCAGGCAACGTCACTTTAAAAATTATTCCTGGCTATCAGTCAACACCACTTTCATCCCAAGTAAGAGAATAATGAATAAAAAGAAATTATAGTGTTATTTTGATTTTAATAAAGATTTTATTTCATAAGAAATGAATTTGTGTTAGTAGAAAGGAGTTGAACTAAACAATTTTTCATTGTATACACTATAAAATATCCAATAATTTATTTTAATCGATCACTGCTGATCACACAAAATATATGATTATTTTTAATGCATGACTAGATTAGATATTGACAAAAACGTTCTGGTGATGATGGATATCTAGAAGCTTTTAAAAGTTAACTATTATAAGAATTTGCATGTCTAAACTTTTTAGTCTTAGAAAGGACTAACCAGCAAGTTCTGCTCCATCAAATATGGCAGTATTTGGAAATAAATTATCAGATTACTTCGAATTTTAATATATTTTGATTACTACAATTATTACTTCTGTGGGCAACACTCGGCAGTAGTGTGAAGCAGTGATGCGCTACTGTTTGTCTAACATTACACTGTCTGCCCGGCTAGGTCTTCTCCTGTCACTTCTAATTATACTGAATTGGAATCAGAGGGGACTGTCTGAGATATCCTTGGGTTGCCCGACTGTCATTAGTGTGATCATTTATTAAAACACAAACCTGATACATTATAAGAACCAAGAGATGTGCCACACAAAATCATATGGTTTGTGCGAGGACTGGGATACTAAGCGGACACCCAGATCAAGGGAATTGATTGTCTTAAGAGGCTACTCACCCGGAGGAAACTTTGGGTTGAAGTTTGGCTCACACAGCAGTAGATCAGCGTCAGTAACTATGTTTCCATGGTTTCCAGTGACCAAAACAAGTTCATACGCTATTCGATTCATTCAGATTACGGAGCCTATGTAAACTGTAAGTTTGAAATCAGGGCTTTCCAGCTCTCCTAAGTAGACCGTCTTTTCCATCAATCCGGTTGTAAATACCAGACTTCTGTGAGGATTAATCCCACTTTGTGAAGGGAGTGAACAGAACTTACTTGGCAGAGGCCATTAAGGTGTGACCACATGAGAGAATTTCGAGGGGAAGACTGATGTCTACTTACCCTCGGCTATAACAGGTCGTTTATGAGGGAAATCACTGCGACAGATGATGGTCAGGGGTGAAGCAAACATCTAGGTAATGCAAACATTCGAAACAGCGACATCCAATTTACTATTAAGACATTGTATCGGCTGAGCTACGAGACCCGACTGCTAACTAGGTTGTCATTTCACTGAAATCACCATGGTTAGTGTTTATCTCGAATCTTACAGCATTCCATATTTTTATTTCAGCCTTAATCACCACATGTATGTAAAATCAATAACTATTTGCCAACCCAAAACTATTTCAAATAGCTTCAGTATCACTTATCACTTCTATTTTATTTTCTATGCTGAAAATATATTATCACTTATCACATACTCAGTAAATAAACTTCGAACACCCCTAAGACACTTATTAACACGTTGATTATGGAACTAATGATAAATGTGTGAATATTGTTCATTTAAAGGAAAAAAACAATCACGATCTAAATAGTTTACTAACATCCTAATAAGACATAAACTTCTTCAAGTTGAAATTTGTTTTTACTTCAATTTTGATTTTTCCGTCGATTGACTGAACTGAAATGTTTGGCCTCTGTTGTCCTGCCGGCTTCTAGTACGGACGCTTCGATGATGTTTGAGGATTAGCATGATGTAACTTGTTGGACGGTGACTAGCATTGGAAGCCAGGATGAGCACTTAGGGCTATTTGGGACTCGACAGCTGTTACCCTTTGCAACAGAGGTGGCTCTAGGGGATAACACTTTGGCATCTGAAACGGTGGGTACTGGGTTCGAGTCTCACTTGGAACACTGTCACTCATTGAGAAATGTAAGCACATCCAGCTGAAGAGTCACAAATAAGACTAAACGCACATTCTGGATTCTACTGATAGAAACCGTTCACCAAACTTCTTCAAGTTGAATTTTACTGTTTTCTTAAACTTATTGAATCAGTTTGGTTTTGTAAACATTGACTTCTATTTCATCAACCAAAACATTGTAATTTGGATCAGCCAATAGTAAGATCGACGATAATTAGGAGGGTTTTATGTGCTTATGGAAATGTGTGGATGATTATTACTTCCTGTTTACCTACACCGGACACACTCTCAGAAGACCGCCGAGTGATGTCAGGTTCCAGACCCTCGAGTGGAAAACGATGAGTAAATGGAGGAGATCGTGTGAGGAGATCAAATCTTATGGAAAATCGTGGGGCCAGCTGAAAAGGAGTTGTGCTGTTAAAGTTAAAGCCCCATGTTCTACTCGGAACCCAAGAGAATAATAATAATAATAACATACACCGTGGAAGTTGTTTCCTTCTTGGAATGCCTGAAATAGAAAAAGCATTAGTGTGGCGTGACTGCAGAGCCTAGAGAACATCTGTCTGGTGCCGGTCACACACGGCTATTTCAAAGTTGTGCCCGTATGAAGCTCTTACTGCCGACTGATCATCGTTGCGTAGTGAGTCGGAATGTACAGTTTTTGATATTGACTCTCTCACAGGGGAAATGCATCATGGATGGATTGATAATCATCCGAAGGAAACACCTTACCGCTATCAAATCCCTACTTGTCAACGGTACTATTTCACACCCAAGTCGCCGAAGTTCTGTGACTTGCAATATAGCGGTAGCTGATTTTAGTGTATTCGCTATCTAAACAGTGTTTCTGGCATGGTCGGACCTGCAAGAATATTCGTTTCAGCCAGTACAGCTCATTAGGTCGTCACGCTATGCGAGCCTGGCTGCCAGGTCAAGGTAGCAGCTACCAGTGGGGTATCAACAATAAAGAAGGGAATAAAACTTCGTTTTTCCCGACCATCAACTGGAACCCGAACAACAAACAACTAGTTGAGTCGTCTGAAAATGGAATGGAGGAGCACGTGTGAAAAGGAAATGAAACCTTGTAAGCAATCCTGAAACGAATTAAAAAAGACTGCAGAGAAGAGAGTAAAGTGGGGAATTTCTACTGAAGCTCTATGTTCCACTTGAAACCTAAAAAAATAATAATAACATCCACTACGTACTACTACATGTTATGAATTCTAATAGATTTGAACCTAAACATATAAGTAGCTGAAAACAGTTGAAATAGGAGTGAGTTATTTCATTGACGGAATCATTATTGTTATTATTCCATTGGATTTCACGTGGAACATAGAGTTTCAGAAGCACATTGCCGTTTCACTATGTTCTCTAAAATCTGTTTTTGACTGACTCCACGATTACCTATAAGCTTTCGTTTACTCTCCAAATGATCTTCATGTCGCCCTCGAACCCATACCCAACTCATCTTTTGCTATTTGGGTACCACTCAAGTTACGCAATGTTAGTCAACGGTCTCCTCAGAGTATATCAAATCCACCTGCATTCAAATCTGCGTATTTGTTGGGCAGTAGGTTCTTGGTTGGTTCGTTGACAGATTTCTTTGCTGCTAAACCTTTCTGGTTGGCGTTATGATCTTCAGTATGGGATGAAAGCAGCTATTAATAAAAGTCTGCAGCCTACTGTTGGAAATGCTTTTGGTGAGGCGTATGCCGAATCTCAACTACAGGAGGAACGGACGAGGATGTCAAATCGAGAATCGGGAAGGCGAGAAACACATTCATTAACCTGAAACCAATCTGGAAATCTTCGTCACTCAACATCAACAACAAAATTCGGATTTTCAATACAAACGTCAAGTCAGTTCTTCTATACGGATCAAAAACTTGGCGGGTCACCAAGAATATTTCCAACAGCCTGTTGCAGACCTTAATCAACAACTATCTTCGCTCTATGCTGAAGATCAGATGACCGGAAAGAATCACCAACAAGAAACTATGGAAACAAACAAAACAAGAACCAATCGCCCAACAAATATGCAGGAGAAAGTGGAGATGGATTGGACACTCGCTGAGGAGGCCGTTGGGTGACATCGCGCGTCAGGCCCTCGAGTGGAATCCGAAAGGGAAGCGGCGAGTGGTTCGTCGGTGCAAGGGTGACATGGAGGAGATCGTGTGAAGAGGAGTTGAAACAGTATTGAATAACATGGATGCAGGTGAAAAGTACGGCAGAAGACAGAAACAAGTGGAGACGTGCAGTTGAAGCGCTATGTTCCATAAGGAACCCAAGGGAACAATAATAATAATAATGCCGAATCCCTGAACCATATATTGAATTACTGTCTGACCGAATTGCATAACTTAATCTGTGAATTTCACTTAACACTGGTTGCTTTACTTTCGTATCAAGTTATTTGATATCTTATAGTGATTGTTTCATGTAATTCACTACCGCAATTGTAGTTTGACTGTATCGTTTAGTAACAAATCACAAAGAATGTATTCGTTTCTCAAAGTTAAACTCATAAATCAGTTGGTCGGTAAAGTTAATTCATTTGACAAAATACACAAAGCTAAACAATAAAACATTCAGGCAACCTGCATTTTGTTGTGTAATATTTGTTTATAATAAGTATTATCACTGATATTTTGAATCAGTACAGAGCAGATTTGTGAAAGAGGATAAAAGTAATCTCACAGTATGGCAAACTCCACAACGGAGATTTCATTTGTGCATAAAATCAATATAACACCCTTAGAACAGTCAAAAATTAATATCTGGTATGACTACTGCATTCTTCTAAACAAATAATACAAAATCTCATAAGACGATGCACAGTACCAATTACATGAGAAAATCCAAATTTTTATTAACTGCCACTACTCTATGCTATGAAATAGGCAGAATCGGAAGGGAGGCGAATTTGTCTTGGCGCGATTGCTTACATACTTATTCGAGAGTTATAAATATATTGTAAGTGGGGTAAATCCAGTTACATTCATACATTCATATATTGCGTCGATGGCACAGAGGTTAGGACGCTCGCCGATCATGCACATGGTCCGGGGTTCGATCCCCGGGTGACGCACTCCTTTACCTCACTAAGCCAGTAATAAAAGTTGGTAGAGGGGGAAGGTTGGGCA